CATTTTTAAATATTTTGTGAATATCCATTAATCGAAAATTTATTTTAGTCTTAAAAATGTTAGATATAACACCGAATATTTATTTGTTTTATTAGTATTATTGTTATTCAAAATATGAGCATTGTTTTGTTTTTTAAAGATCGAAACCATTTATTTTTAATTTTCGTGTCTGGCGGAAGTTAAGACTGTCTTGTTTAATTTCAAGCTTCTAACTATTTATAGTGGCACAAATGTACGATTTTACTGCACTCTTGAGACAACTTTACCTGTAAAAGTGCACTAGTAGCAAAACTCGTCGACCTTTTGATGTTAAACAAAATTGACTATCACAATGCCTCCCTCGAGTCTCTTATTTAAGCCACCTACCTGTAAGCCATTTATCTTTTATCGACACTGATGACGTTCAGATGAAGCCATTACGAGCTAATTAACGCAAATTACAAAGTACGTGCTACATCCCAAACAAATAATCCCTCGGCTCGTTCTATAACGTCAATAAATTATCCGAAGTAATAAAGGGACTACAGTTGGTGTATGATCAACGGGAGCGACGCCTTGGCGCTTTACCCTCCCTTGTTGCGACAATATTATCATAGGAAACAAGCAACCGGAAATCACCCTCTCGCTTCCGCTATCTTTGTACAAAGCTCACTGACCAGTGCTAATCGGCGCATATTAATTCGTCGATTCTGGGCGTGCTGTGCTGTTAATCATCTTTGGATTATTTTTACCGGAAATTGCCGGATAAATAACGCCTGTCTACTGTGAATGATATATTTTTTCAGGTTTCAGCGCTTTTTATGAAATGTCAGTTGGCCATTGTTGCCCTGTCATCCATTGTTTCGATAATATTCTTGTTCTCTTTCACTCATAACAGTTCGGAATTGATTGAACAGATAATAAAAAACAAGCCATTATAAACTTTATTTTTCTTTATTCTTTGCATATTTACATTGAGATATTGTCTACTGCAGATAACCTAAAACTTATTCTAGCATACACAATATAGGTTCTCGGCTAAGATTAAGTCTTACAAAAATACACAATCTAATAAAGTATGGAGAAAATTCAGTGTGTGACGGAAATAATTCAATAACGCGACTTAATACAAAAACTTATTGTGAAGAGATGAAAAGCAATCACTCTATTATTAGAAGCAAATGAGATTTTCTGTCCCTTCAATAGATATGTGATTTTATTGTCACGTGAAAATCTGATTTGGGGCTGAAACACGTGTTCATCAAGTGAGTGTTATGAGGTCAAGTTGGACGAAACAACCACATTAAAGTTTCCACAGCTTCGAGGCTGTGTTTGTTTGAATGGTATTGAAAAAGTTAGACTTATTTTCTTGTCAATAAAAGCTAGATATCAGACTAGCAAAACCACACTATTTGTTTTAGACAAATAAACCAAGAAATATTCCATGACGCTTTAAAAATGACAAGTTTCTCGCTTTTGTTTCAAAATTACCGAAATATAGTAGATTTCATTGAAATTGGCGTAATAGGTGCCTATGGAATTTCGCATTTAGGTTTGTAGCCCTGCACATGTCCCTGATATAACAGCTGATGGGGTTTTTGTCTTTCTTTGATTACTTACCTACATGGTTTATAGAACTGACATTTGTATTCGTTTTTTCACTGTTTTACTTGCTTGTTCGTTTTTTCAAATTATAATTAAAACATAATCAATTTCTTTTTGTTGTTCCTGTTTTAGGCATTTTAGGTTAATGGAACCAAATATACTAATTTGAATTAAGCCAAATTACTTTAACCACGGCAAAACACGATTTTCAGGCTTCAGTACGCGAAGGTTTATTTTGTTCAGATTTTCTTTTTCCACTCCGGTCGCAACAACTTTACCATTGTTTAAAAATTCACAATTTTGTTCTACATTTTTATTGTCAAAATCCAAACCCTTTTTCGATGCAACTTTCACGGAAAACAAATTGTGTTTCATCTCCGGTGTGAATAAAAGTCTTTTAAAATTCCTGGAAGACACTTATTATCAACGAAAGTCTGTATTTTCTCCAAAGCAAATAGTGTATGTTTTTGGTGTTAAAACTACACCTGCAAAGAGATGAAACCCGATGTTAAAGTTTTTATGGAAAAAACACTCTCTGAAAACCTCTGAAATAAGGTTTTTTAAAAATAAAATTGTAACTATTTTTACCTCACTTTTTTTAATGACAAATTTAGTTCCTTAAAGCCTTTTTTCACATTTAAAGCGCGGTTTACATAATTATGGCCTACTGTTATGCCAATTTCAATGAAATGGATTATAGCATTTTTGATTTTTTAAACAATGTAACATTTTTTTGTTTGTTAAGACAATGGCTGCGGGTGTTCCGTTTTTTACTGTTGTGACTAAAAAGACAAATAACGTAAAATACACTGCGGTATTTGGGCATTTTCCAGGTTAGTCTTTAACAGTAGGGTTTCAAAATGTGTATATCGTATTCACATGTAAATGCATCAAATTCATATCATGTATTTACATTATTAAATTATGCATTAGGAACTGAAAGCTGGTTTACAAACGTTCCTGATTCTGGTATCAAAATGCTCACTCTTTTGCTCTATTTAAAGAACAATTTTTCCATCCAAAAATTAAAGAATTATGAAATAACAATATGTTGGAATAAAAATTAAAAAAAATGAATATTTAGCTCAAAAACCTTATCAATGATTGAAATGAAAACATAAGTTGCATTATTTTGGTACGTATATTCTTTATTATTCCTTTGTTTCATTTTAATCAATTATTTCGGAGAGTGGTGCAAGTTGATTTTCCACTCGTGTTTATTTCAGCACCCACTAACACTTTGCTGCCTTTGAAAACTTGATTTATGAAAATAATTCAGTATCATTGTTACGAAACACGCAAATATGATATGTGTTTGAAAATGATACATTATTAAAATTCGATGTCGCCACACTAGACTTTCTGATATATTTTTCAACAATATGACTCTAATAAAAATACATTTTACACTGGATCAGGGGCTGGTTCCCACGTTAGAAGCTGAAGACTTGTAGATTTGGAAACACCAGCAGTTGAGGAGGCACGACCCATGCTTGCGTAAACTGGTATATGTCGCGAAGCTCTCGATTTCATACTTCGAGTGTAGAGCTTTAACACTTGACAGTTGCATGTCACCAACATGGCGACGAAAATGCCTTGAAGACCTTGTCCTACGTGGTAAGCTATCCAAGCCGTCTCGGATTTAGCTAACTTGCTAAGAGCGCCCAGAGTTACCACTAAGCCCAACAAGACGGTTATCTGGAATAAAACAGGGAAAATGCCAAGTTATTGAGCGTTTTTTAATGCTTAGTTTATCCGGAGCTAAGCATAATTCTCTACAAAAGACAAAACAAAATATATTCCCCTTGCTTGTTCTTCAAATAATCCACGTAACAAATAATTTGAAGCCTCGAGTAAATTAACTTCAACTCCGGAAACAAGTTCATTCCACATAAATTTCATTTTAACTTTGAAGTTTCACTCCAGTGCATAATAATTTAGATCCACAGAATAATTTACACTTATCTATTGTGAAAAAGGGGATTTAGCCTTTTTAAATTTTCTGTTAGCTCATCTACACAGTCTAAAGCCATAAAGCTGTTAACTTTTAGTTTGCTTCATTAAACTTTCATTCAACTGCAAAATGCAGTGCTCTAAAATGATTACATGTTTCAGCAAAGTTTCAGCAAATGTTCTCCAGTTGTCCGACTTGAAGGCATAATAACTTTTCGAAAAATTGATGATTTTTTGCTTGATCTTCTTGCAAATGCTTTTAAATTGAAAAATATGTACTCGTACTAAAAATGTCATAAATTTATATTTCATTTTATTATTATTATTATAGATAAAAAATAATTATAATCTACCAAGTGAAATTTTATATTAAATTTCAACATTTTATTTTACTTACTTCCACGTCAAAAGCAAGACAACTTTCCTCTCAAATTTTAATAGAGCACTTTGAAGAAGTTAATCGAACTTTCTTACTACAGTGACAGGAGTAAGTCTCTTCTTTGAAAGTTGTTTCTACTATTCCTAAACTACATTAGAGCTACATATTTCAAGATGTCTTTTTTTTCGCTTTTGACATTCTTATTCTTCACTTTATAAATGACAGCTAGACTAGACATAAAACAAGTAAAAGACGAGAACTACAATGTTTCATATCTTTGAGTCCTTCAGCTTCAGATATACCGTTGAAGTTTTCCATGTTTTCTCTATATCTGTGTCGGCAATATATTTCGTTCGGTGCATATTTATGTCGAAATCAATCTTTATTATTCCTCACCTTGGCAAAAAGCGCAATGTGCAGCATCCTCTTACGTCGCATTTTATCACGTAGCTTGCGATCTACTTGCATACTGATAACGTAGCGTGCTACTAAAGCCGATCTCACCAAATAGTATAAGGTGACTGATATGAAGATGGTGGAAGGAACCAATAACCCATATATGAAAGCATTCCGATCAAGAAACCTGGAAAAAATCATAAAAATCAATCCGACCGGAAATATTTATAACAAGACGAGGAATATCAGATTTGTTGCAACGCTCTCAAAGGATTCGCGAATTTAAACTCCAACGTCTCGAAAATGGACTTCCTATGCTCCAAGACAGTTATAATAAATTCGTGTTTCGTGTTTCAATTCAGTTACTTAAAAAAATTGGATAATGACAGAGTGAAACTCAATTAACTAAATTGTACCGTAACTCTTAATTATTCTTTTGTTTTTCCAGGATAATTGAGTCTACAAAAATATGCAAAAACAAAGAAAAATAAACATGACCTGTTTATTTTTTAAATTGTGTAGAGTTTTCTGTTGACAGATGTTAATTTAAAATGTAGACAATTTTTTTATCAAATAGCCCGAAGTTAAATAGCTTCAGTCGTATTTCAATGAGAAATATTTATTCAATAAATTTTCCAAGTTATTAAAAAACCGTTCAAAGCAAATTTAATTTAAATTTTATATCAACACAGTATTCCACTGTCTGGAAATGACAAAAAGTAAATTCAAATAACATATTTTTGTGTAAAAATATTTTATCCGCAAGCGTCACAAAAGTGACAACTTTTATAACTAAATGTCACAAGTAAGTTTTCCTTTCAGTCATGGAGTATCTTTACGTCCAAGTGTTTTTACTTTTACCATGGCAATTACCAAAGTTGTCTCTCTCGCTGCTTCAGGAATTTATAGAGAGGCACATTGCAAATCACCAGCATTTTGCACTACCAACTGCACTAGTTAAATGAATAAACACTCAAAAATTTCAACTCAAGTTTCATAAATTTCGATACTAAACGCGTGATGTTTGTTTATAAGCCTTGTTATGATTTTATTACTTGCAAAGAGTCCTGATTATTTTGTTTATTTATTTACTAATTATAGTGTTGCTCTTTACTCTCAATCTGTATATGTTATTAGGAGTAAAAGTAACAGTTTATGTGGCTCAACTGAAACTTTTACCTCTATTGATATAATTTACTATTACTATACGATTATTTGTAAATAAAATTCCAAAAAGTAATAAAAGTGCTACAACTTTCAATTTCAGGATTAGTTTTGATGCAGAAATTATTGGTTTTATAGAGAAATTAATTTTTTATCTTTATCTAACCCTTAATAATTTATAAAACGAGTAACATATTTGGTTTATTCTAATAACACAGTAGTTGTACGTTTTTTTTCTCCACATTAATTAAATGTACAATTTTAATTACCTGTACGTTTGTTATTTTTAGTATTTTGCATGCTTTGTAGATAGAAACCTATTAAAATAAATTGCCATGAACTATAAATTAGCATTTTAATTAAAAACAACCCAAAACTACGTACGATCAAGATTCTTTTTTTTACTCGTTTTTTATTAAGCTTTTAAATAGCAAGTGTAAATTTTCAGTATTGGAAAACAACTTATACTACATTTTGAATTAAACAGTTTATACTGTGGGAGTATATTGGAAAAATATGAAACGTAAAAGCCACTCGACGAGTATTAATGGTAATAATTTTTCTCCGTCATCTTTGGCATCTGCTGCTCCACTATATTTCATCTATAAAAAATTTGAGAAAATAGGTCGTTCGGATCGTTTTGTTAGCTTGGAATGCAATTTCTGTCAAGTGATCGTTATCAATGAGAAGATGAAGTAGTGGGATGTCGCTATTAACTTAATAGCATTGCAAAAAAATGTTATACCAACAGCAATTTCACCGTCTGGACTCGGGGTCCATTTATTAAATTGCCATAAATTTGTTTGCAGAATCACATTGCGTCTTCTTTATGAGTTCGTCGGGATACAAGAATGTGAGGATAAAATTTTATATCGGTAGTTTATTGCACCATAACTCTGTTATTTTTTAAATCATGTCTCAATGGAGATAAAAGCTATTTTACTTTGGATATAAAAAAGAGAGTTAGATACAACAAACCCTTATTTTCCTCTCGAAAATACGTTTATCGTTAAAAAAGGTTTAATTGGTGGATTAGTTGGGTTTATCTCAATCCGATTTAATTACTTACCAGCAATTTTGCGACTTGAGACTTGCAGTATCTAGCAGTTTTCCGGCTTTATCGTGGTATTGTACCATAATGCTGGCGCCGAGAAGTATTCCTGGAACACCCCAGGCGAACACTGAATATCTGCAAAAGGAGAAATAAAATGTAAAGATGAGAAGCTGGGAGATGTAGGTTAAGGAAATGCAAATGTGGGGCCGCAGATGTTACAATTATTTCCCTTTTATTGAAGTGCTAGATAGTGGAATACATTACCGGCTGTTTTTGCAGGTGTGACGGAAATACGAGATCTCTCGAGTGAACTGTTTTGTTTCAACTAAATTGAAAATGAACACTCATTAATTTAATTTTGAAATGACCTACCTACAAAAATGCTTTCCAATTGCATTGTCCGTGATCGGATTTAAATGCAGACTAATCCTAAACTGCGAATGCATGTGATGTGCCATCGTCAACATCCAGCACAGCACGCAGAGTCGTACGTATTGTAGTGAAAAGGCTAAAGCTATGCAAAGCTCGGCATCCTGAAAAGAAGAAAATCAAATAATGAGACCATTGCTCGAGCTAACAATTCAATTTTCTCGACAAACTGTTTATTATTTCTTTTACTTATTGTTTTGAAAGTTGTTATTTAACGACATCCCGACACTTGAATTGTATCTCTCTGCAAGCAATAGCTATAATCTCGTAATACACACAGGAATGAGATCCCTTCAGTATTCAAACATCCTGAAACCGCAATTCCTTTATGGCGTAATTATATGTTCTCTACTGAGGTATACGATGGAATTAATTATTCTTTTTGTATAAACGAGACGCAACTAAATACTACTCCAAAATATTAAAGGAACAAAAAAATTTTCCAAATTTTTTGGTGTTTTTTGAAAGGCTATAACTCATCGAAAAATGGTCGTATCTAGTTTTGAAAAAAAACATTTTGAAGCTTTGGATTTCTAGTTTTGGCAAATATTTTTTCTGTGCTACGGTTATCATGCAATTCTAAGTAATAGCGCAAGAAAAAAAAAACTAAATTTTGATGGTTTTGTTTTTGGTCCACGGACATGTTTAGTTAAGTCAATTTATAGGCCGGATAGCATGTTTGTTTACCTTTAATATGCTTTTTGATGTTCTTTTTACGACAATTTGTCGCTGAGATATCTGACTTTAAATGAAAAAGGATCATCTTGTCTTTGATCATCAATATCTCAGGAACCAAGAACAGAGAATATACGAGTAATGTCAAAAACTGGAATAAATGTCTTATAAGATCCTTTTATTATTTTTTAGAAAATAATTTTTTCTTTACCTTTAACATTGATTTAAACAAAAGAGAAAAAGGCAACTTTTTGCGTTGTTTTAGAGACTAATGTTTTTAGGTGCTTCTATAACTTAATGTTGTTTTCTCGGAGCGATTGATCAAAGTTTTGCAAAAGAATTAAAAGTACAATTGTACATATTGTTTCTGTTGTTTCTGAACATTGTCTAATCTTCGTCAAGATGAGAAAAACATTTTTTTCAGCTTTCTTTTACAATTCTGCACTAGTTAAATTTGAAAAAAAATTCGAAAGAAAATTCAAAAAAAAAATGATTTTTTTTCAAAAATTAAGCAGTTCATTGTTTTTTAAATGTTTTTACAAATTTTCAAAACAATCAAAAAAAATTTGTTAATTTTTTTTATTTTTAGCAACTAATGTAAAATTGTAGCAAAGTCAAAAAAAATTTTTTTTAAATTTTGATGAAGATTAGGCAATGTTCAGAAACAATATGTATGTACAATTGTTCCTTTAATTCTTTTGCAAAACTTTGATCAATCGGTCCGAGAAATCGGTTTGATGAATCGATTTAAAAAATTAGCGGGATACTTTAAGCTGTAAAAACACCTAAAAACATTAGTTTCCTTATCAATATTAGTGAATACGCGGTAGATTTACAAAAACAACGCAAAAAGTAACTTTTTTTTGTTTTCTTTATATCATTTATTTCAGTTTTTGATACTACTCTTATATTCTCTGTGTAGTCATTGGTTGGTGAGATTTCGATGATCATAGACAAAAAAATCCTTTTTCATTAAAAGTCAGATATCTCAGCGACAAATTGTCGTAATGAGAATATAAAAAAAACATATTAAAGGTAAACAAACATGCAGTACGGCCTTAAAATTGACTTAACTAAAAAAAAATTCCACGTCCGTGGACCGAAAACAAAACCATACTTTAGTTTTTTTTTCTTGCGCTATTACTTAGAATTACGTGATAACCATAGCTCAGAAAAAATATTTGCCAAAAGATCTCAAAACTAGAAACCTAAAGCTTAAAAATGTTTTTTTTAAATCTAGATACGACCATTTTTCGATGAGTTACAGCTTTTCAAAAATCACCAAAAAAATTTTTTGTTCCTTTAATTTTTTGGAGTAGTGTAATTAGCTTCAAAGTGGTAGTTGCACACAAAGTTGTTATTTTTTTAACAATTGTTCTTTTGAACAATTAATTAATTCCTCTAATAAACTTAATTGAGTTTGTTAAGTTGGGCGGGAGAACCTGACAAAGAAATAAAAAACAATAAATCAATTAAAGTTCTACCTTTGGTTTTCCTGGTCGTTTATCACGATTTTATTAAAGAAACTTTTGTAATAAGTTAAAACGACAGACATCTTATTTTTTAAATTAGATAAATCCTTTCGTATCCACCTGACTTCTTATCATCAATCTTTTTCATTTCCATTGCAAGGTATACAATTTTTTACTGTTTGCTTCAATACAATTTATCTCTGTTCAAATTATCAGATCTAACTTTAATGGAAAAAACTGTATAGTTACCAAAAATAAGTGTTTGAATTATGTATTTTGCGATAAAATTGTGTAAAACTCTCTATTGAGTTTATTATTTATTAACTAGTTTTGTATTGTCCTATATTCCGGGAGCTTTCTCATTTTTTTCCGCCAGTGTTTGACTTCGTTACCACCATTGCGGTGTAATATTTCAGAATGCAGGTCAGGATTATAATTCACCCGTCAAATTGATGGATGCGTCCTCACCCCAAGCTCTCATTTCTCTTAGAGGAAACGGGTCAAACCTCATGTCCTTTCACAATCTCGTCCACGATATCTCCACGCTCCGCTACCTGCAAAACATCAAATCAAGAACTTGCAAGATAAGAAAGCTCCCCAAGCCCGTCAATGTCTCCTCGTGCCTCCGACAATGATGAATGTCTACGTTATCACTGGAAATGTTTTGAGAAGTTTTGACAACTTATAGAAATAAGAGAAATGATGCTTTTTAGACACGTGCTCGATCGATTATTGAGATGAAATGGTGGAAATAAATTAGAACGCGAGTTTTCACACCGGTTTATGCCGTGCTATAAATTTTCATAAGATTTATTTCATCTTAAGTGGATGCATTTTCTTGATATATGATCTAATCAGCCTAAGAGGAAGTAGGGGAATAAATCATGGTTGTTAAGCAGCTTGCAAATGGAATGGTCTTTTAAAAATTTAATAAAAATGAGAGATTGGAGAGTAACGGCTTGCTTTTATCTGTTGCTGTTAGGAAAATTAAATCGGTTGAATTGTTTCCAATTTTGCTTCAAACGTCTAAACGCTTTATTTGGAGACATAACATTCTAAATTTATTATCAAAACAATATTATTTATTATTCTTTATCTCTTAGTCAACTATAATTTAAGAATACTTAAAAAAAAAAACGATGTTTCCGCCCGGGATCGAACCGGGGACCTTCCGCGTGTTAGGCGGATGTGATAACCACTACACCACGGAAACAACTTACCGAATTATAATTTATACGTGATAACAATTTAGGAAACCACTTTCTATTCTAAATAAACTGCTCCAGAAAAGTTAAGAAAGTTGCATAATTTTTACAACAAATAAATTTTATTCGTCTAAGCATTGTGGAATCCAGCAAAAAAAAGTAAAAATATATTTGCATTTATCTCACTTTTAATTGATTTTTTTTTAATAATTTATTAATATAATTAATTATTGTAATTATTGCACACTTCCTTAACTTTTGTGAAGCAGTATATTTTAATAGGTAATAGGCAGAGATTTTTTTTAATATACATAGTCCTATGTACTGCGTCTATTACGTTTTAAGTTGTTTACAATTAAAATTAAATTGCATATTTTTAATTCAGTTATAAAATATATAGAAATTATACGCAAGAAAAAAACAAAAAAATCAATATTTCTTTATTAAA